GAGAGAGAGAGAGAGAGAGAGAGAGAGAGAGAGAGAGAGAGAGAGAGAGAGAGAGATGAGCGATAAGAGTTTGGCTGTTACGTACCTGTGAAGTGCAGTCCCGTGAAGAAGAAGAAGAAGGCCATAGCCGCGGAGCCTGACCACAGAGTGACGAAGGAGGGATAGAGAGTGTACAGAGGGAGAGACTGAGAAGGGAGAGAGAAGCCATTGCCGAGGAGGTAAAGAGAGAGACGATCAAAAAAAAAAAAAAAAAAAAAGAAAGGAGACAGCCGGGGTGAAAGGAGGCGAGGAAATTGAAGGGAAGAAGAAGGTTGGTGAGAAAAGTGAAGCCGGCAGCCATAGCCGACTGGAGGAGTTGACCGGGGGTTGACCAGGAGTTGACCGGAGGTGTTGACCGGCGTTGACCGGAGTTAACCGGGGGTTGACCAGGGGTCTACTGCGGCGTTGACCGAGCGTTGACCAAGCCGTTGACCACGAGTTTGACCAAGCTGGAGCCGGTATAATCTCGCCAAGCCTTCAACCTATCCCTCGCCCTATGGATGTGCACACACCCTGTGGTACTTGCTGAGTCTAGTCTGTTTGACTCTTCTTTCTGCATCGAGTCTCTTCTGTCCAGATGATAGTAGTCTGTGGATCTCGCCAAGCCTTCAACCCCTGCCGGACCAAGTAGGGTTAAAGACTGTGTCTGGCGACTGGACTGTCCCGGAGGCCTAACCCTCCCAAGGACCGGTACAGACCGGCGGGCTGCTCGGTGTGGCACGGTAGGCCCGAAAGGCTGAGTTGTGGGCTGCGCAACAGGCGGTCTAAATGTTGAGAGACCTTCTGATCGCGTCGTCCTGTTTGCGACGTTAAATTTTCCTGAGGAGTTACGGGGGATCTCCTTAAATGCCTCCTAATCAGCAACAGGTCTAGTACTGACAGCCATAGTGTAGGTCTAGGCTAGAGACCTTGGTTGGCAGGATCCCTGTCAGGATTCTGTGAGTCTTTAGATTGAGTCAGTAGGTTGTCAGTCAGGGGTTAGAGTCTACGTGGTGAGGTTTGGAACCGCCAATCCGGTTGTGCACTTATCACCATGGTTGAGACCCGCAGTGGGAAGATTACTAGCCCCTATACCCAGGAACAACAAGAGAAGATGACGGGCTTAGTGAGAGAGAACAAGGAGAGGAAAGAACTCCTGAAACAGGGGAAGTTGAAAGCAATGGTAGAGGAGCAGGCGGCGAAGATGAAGAAGTTGGAAGAGGAGATGGAGGAGAAGAAAAAGGTTGCCGAAGAAGAAGCGGCAGCAGAAGCAGAGGAGGAAAGAAAACGCAGGGAAGAAAAAGGGGAGACTAGTGACAGGGCGAAGGAGGATGCAGCAATGGAGAAGAAGATCACTGAGTGGATCGCTAATTTATCGTTGGGGGAAGATGAGGAGGCACGGTTCTATGTGCCACAGGATGAGAGAGATGCGTTAGCCAACGCGCTAGCAGCAATGGAGGACCCCCTGGAACGGCAAGAAGCAGAGGAGGAAAAAAAGTTGGAGTAGGAACTGACGATGAAGAGGAAAAAGAAGAGAAGGAGGGACGAAGTTAACAGGTTGACCGCAGAGGTGGCCAATGTGAGAGACTGCAGACAAGAGGTGCAGGCGCAGGAAGATATTTCTGCCAAAATGGATAAGATGTTGCTATGTTGGGGTACTTGGAAGTGTTGAGTGAGGCGTGGATGGAGGAGCGCCAAGCTAACTGGGGTCACGACGTGGCCCTAAGTGCCATGCGGTCAAAATTTATAGACTTTGCGTGCGATATGGTCACCCACGTTGGAGGCAAAGTCAGACGATTGAGAGACAGCGTGGGGGAATTCTGTGAGGGCGCCATCGAGGGTGCCAAGGCAATAGCCGCTGTACAGAGTGAGGCCAGGCCTCGTAAGGAACCCGTTAGGCTTAAGTTCCCAGATGCATACGGCGGGGAGGAGGAGAATTTTGACAACTGGGAGGCGAGCG